TGAAATGGCTATCTGGTAGGTGATGTGGCCACTAGCTGATGTGGTCAGGCATAGAATTGCAATCTTGCAGATAATGTGGTGAGGCCTAAAATTGCAGTCTGGCTAGTAATGTGGTCATGCCTGAAATGGCAATCTTGCAGATCATGTGAGAGCAGTCCTGAAATGGCAATTTGGGAGTTAAGCGGTCATGGCTGAAGCATTTGGGATTATGATATGGACAGGTTTGAAATGGAAATCTATCAGATGAACGTGATAGGGCCACAAATCTGGCATATGATGTGGTGAGGCTTGTCACGAGAATCTGGTTGATGGTGTCGTCTATCACTCTTTCTAGTCCTCTAACTACACAGCTTCCATACACTCATTGTTTTAACCTGGATGGGAGTATGGCCCAGTGATTTATTTTGACCAGAATGGCAAACTGCCCAGTATGGATGGTTATGCCCGAATCATAACTTGGCCAAGCCAAGTGTGATGGAAAATCTGTATGACATGAGCCGCATTGAAGAAAGAGAAAGTACTCAAGGACGAATGCTAATCTTACTGAGAAACAAAATCTAATGGACTGCATTTCCCTGAATATTCTGGTCATGGGTCTGGCAATCTGGCTGGCCACAATCTCGCCTGAAATGGCATCTAGCAAGCGTGTTTTGAACGACCAGGACTGAAGAATCTGGGCAATGAGATGTTCATGCATGTAAACTAGTCTGGCCACGTGAAGTGTCCATGCCTAAAGGCTGAAATGGATTGCTTATGTGTCTGACTCTCTGATGTGGCTGGCTCATGTGGCTGGCTCATGTGTCCGCCTGATGTTTATGTCTCATGGGTCTGGCTCATGGGTCTAGCTCATGGCCGTGGCTTATGGGTCTGGCTCGTGGGTCTACCTTGTGTGTCTTGCTCATGGTCTGGCTCATGAATGTAACTCGGGTCTCTGCCTCATGTAATAGGCTCATGCGTCTGGATCATGGATGTGGCTCATGTGTCTGGCTCATGTTTCTAGCTCGTGTGTCAGGCTCATGGGTCTGCCTCACGTGTCAAGCTCATGTCTCTTGCTCATGCGTCTAGTTCATGGCTTTGACTCATGTCTCTGGCTCATGTGAATGGCTCATTGGTCTGGCTCATGTCTCTGACTCATGTGAATGGCTCATGTGAATGGCTCATGGGTCTGGCTCATTTGTCTGGCTCATGTGTCTGACTTACGTGTCTGGCTTGAGTCCGGCTTGTGTCCGGCTGATGTTTTTGGCTGATGTGTCCGGCTCATGGGTCTGGCTCATGGGTCTGGCTCATGGGTCTGGCTCATTTCTCTGGCTCATGTGTTTGACTTACGTGTCTAGCTTGAGTCCAGCTTGTGTCCGGCTGATGTTTTTGGCTGATGTGTCTGGCTCATGGGTCTGGCTGATGGGTGTAGCTGATGGGTCTGGCTGATGGGTCTGGCTCAATTTTTTGGCTCGTGAGTCTAGCTCATGTGTGCATCTCATTTGTCAAGCTCATGTGTCTTGCTCATGCGCCTGGCTCATGGGTGCAACTCGGGTCTTTGGATCATGCGTCCGGCTCATTTGTCCGGCTCATGTGTCCGGCTCATGGATCTGGTTTATGTGTCGGGCTCTTGAGGCTGCCTCATGGGTTCTGACTCATGGGTCTGACTCATGGGTCTGGCTCATGGGTCTGGCTCATGGGTCTGGCTCATGGGTCTGGCTCATGTGTCTGGCTCGCGTGTCTGGCTCATGTGTCCATCTCATGTGTCAAGCTCATGTGTCTTGCTCATGGTCTGGCTCATGAATGTAACTCGGGTCTCTGCCTCATGTGATTGGCTCATGCGTCTGGATCATGTGTGTGGATCATGTGTCTGGCTCATGTTTCTGGCTCTCGTGTCAGGCTCATGGGTCTGCCTCACGTGTCAAGCTCATGTCTCTTGCCCATGCGTCTAGCTCATGGCTTTGACTCATGTCTCTGGCTCATGTGAATGGCTCATGGGTCTGGCTCATGTCTCTGGCTCATGTGAATGGCTCATGGGTCTGGCTCACTTGTCTGGCTCATGTGTCTGACTTACGTGTCTGGCTTGAGTCCGGTTTGTGTCCGGCTGATGTTTTTGGCTGATGTGTCCGGCTCATGGGTCTGGCTCATGGGTCTGGCTCATGATTCTAGCTGATGGGTCTGGCTCATTTGTCTGACTTACGTGTCTAGCTTGAGTCCAGCTTGTGTCCGGCTGATGTGTCCGGCTCATGGGTCTGGCTGATGGGTCTGGCTGATGGGTCTGGCTCAATTGTCTGGCTCGTGAGTCTAGATCATGTGTCCATCTCATTTGTCAAGCTCATGTGTCTTGCTCGTGCGTCTGGCTCATGGGTGCAACTCGGGTCTCTGGATCATGTGTCCGGCTCATTTGTCCGGCTCATGGATCTTGCTTATGTGTCTGGCTCTTGAGGCTGCCTCATGGGTTCTGTTTCATGGGTCTGGCTAATGGGTCTGGCTCATGAGTCTGGCTCCTAAAGGAATGCCTGAGTGTAAAGTAACAGGGCACCCCAATGGATTGGACGAAACTGGAAGAGCTGGGTTGGGCAGGTTTGCCTGCTTAACTGTGCTCTTCGGTATCACCAAGTTAGTGCAGTGAGTGCTTGCGCGGCATGTGCAAAGGCGGCAACTAGCTGCATGCTTGGGAGAGACGTTTGTGGCCAGGACTGAATCGGCAAATGGGTGACAATATCTGGTCAGCCCTGGTATGGCAATCTGGAAAGTGATGGTGTGAGGGAGTTAAAGCCGATCCAAACAACATGGATCTCATGGGAGCTTTCCAGTAAGTGGTTACGCAAGAATGAATCTATCAATCCTTCAGTAAGGGCTTTAAACGCTGTGGCCTGGTTGCATATAAACGTTTCCATCTCACCACGAGTTGCATGTTGTTTTCATGTCTTCTCACATGCGTGCCTCTCAAACGCGTGCCTTCTCACCTCCATGTCTTCTCACATGCGTGCCTTCCCTCTTCCATGCCTTCTCACAGGCGTGCCTTGTTTCATTCCACTTTCTCATTCTTGAAGAAAAAAGATTGAAGCTGGACGCAGGCACATAGAAATTACAAAGATCCCCCTGACTTGGAAACTTTTTCTGGATTCCATACCTGTGATTCACATGCATGCCTTACACATGCATGCCTTACCACATCCATGCCTTAACACAGGCATGTCTTATCACATGCAGGCCTTTTCTGTTCCTCTTTCTTCACCAGCCTTGCTCCATCTCTGTCCGTGGTATTCTGTATGTGAAGGGGATGGTTACAATGACACATATCAGCGCATTGAATTTGATGAAGTGTAACAGCATTCACAGCGGGCCTTGCCTGCCAAACTCTCTCTCCTCGTCAAGCTACTCAAGGAAAGGTATACAAAGCAAGGTACACAAGGAAAGCTACACAAGGCAAGGTACACAAGTCAAGGGGGCAAGCTACACAACATCAAGTACAGTGCACCATCCAATCCGGCACGTTGAACGATCATCGCTTCTCCGAGGCTAGAGGAGAGGGAACGATTCGCAGCAGTGCCGTATCACAGCACCAACGCCATCTCTCCCCTCCACCCTCGCCAAGCATCCCTTCACCTTCCAATGATCCCTCAGCCAGCCAATCCTCTGTACCACCACCCTACACTCTACTGCAGCAGCGTAGCAACAAGGTCCTGCTGGCTGTTGAGGCGGAGGAAGAGAGGGAGGGGCGTGGAGGAAGAGATGCGGGCAAGCAAAGAGGAGGCGAGAGCAGCATTGAGCCGAGTCTCCCCCACCAGAGAGAGCACTCTAGCAGTAGTAGTGGCAGCAGCGTTGGCTCCTGTGTTAACATTTGGTGCAGCAGCCACCCAAGCACCTGGCAGCACCACCAGAGGGGTCAGGACCGAAGGCACCGAACCAGCAACCGAGCCTGCCACTGAACCAGCCAAATTGGCCACCGAGCCTGCTGCCTTGCCTGCTGAGCCTGCTACTTTGCCTGCGGTGCGAATTGCTGAGCCTGCAGTATTGCCCACCAAGCCTGCAGCTGAACCTGCAGCATTACCTGCATTGCCAGTGGCCAAACCTGCAGTATTTCCCACCAAGCCTGTTGCCGAGCCTGCAAGGTTCCCTCCTGAGCCTGCTGCCTCTCCTGCAGTGTCAACTGCTGAGCCTGCAGCAGTGCCAACTAAGCCTGCTGTCAAGCCTGTAAGCCTCCCAGCAGATCCTGCCCCCTTTCCTGCAGTGCCAACAGTGGAGCCTGCAACAGTACTAAGCAAGCCTGCTGCCGAACCTGCCGCCATCCCTGCAGTGCCAGCTACCGATCCTGAAAGATTGGCTGCCGAGTCTGCTGCAGAGCCTGCAAGGTTCCCTGCAGATCCTGCCACTTTTCCTCCAGTGCCTACTATCGAACCTGCAGCGTTGCCCACCAAGCCTGCAGCCGAGCCTGCTGCGTTGCCCACCACACCAGCTGCCGAGCCTGCAAGCCGTCCAGCAGAGGATGCCACCATTCCTGCGGTGCCAACAGTGGAACCCGTAGCTTTGCTGACCAGTGCTGCTGCGGAACCTGCTGCCTTCCCTGCAGTGCCAGCCGTCGAACCTGTAAGATTGGCTGCCAAGCCTGCTGCTGAACCTGCGAGGTTCCCTGTGGATCCTGCCACCTTTCCTGCTGTGCCTACTGCTGAGCCTGCGGTGTTCCCCACTACGCCTGCTGCCAAACCTGCAACGCTCCCCGCAGATCCTGCTGCCTTCCCTGCAGTGCCTACTGCCGAGCCTGCAACATTACCCACCACACCTACTGCCGAACCTGCAGCCTTCCCGGCCGAACCTGCCATATTCCCCGCTGCCCTCCCCACACCAGAAATAGCTCCAGACACATCCGAAACAAACCCAGCAGGAACCACATTCAGGCTCGGCGACCCTCCAAAGACTGGCTTGGGAGCTATCCGAAGATGTGTTGGCAGCCGCTTTGGCACCCACATCAGTTGAGGATTCGAGGAGAGCGGAGGAGAGGGAGGGGATAGTGCAGGGGTTGCGTGTGACGATGGCTGGGGGTGAGGAGGGGGGCTGGGCCATGCCTTGCGCTGTGATCTTGTATGTGAGGATCACAGAGGTGCCCCTGGGGGGATGATGTGAGAGGGGAGGGAGATGGAGATGGAGAGAAGTTAGTGGGGTGGAAGGGAGGAGGGAGAGAAGGGAGGTAGCCCGAGTCTTTGCCTTTTAAAAAGGTGATGCATTTTGTACCTTCTGAGAATGCTGATGTCAGCAACGCCGTTAATGTCGGATCTGACGTCAGCCGTTCTCCCACCACAAGTGTTGAGGGTCCCACGGAGAGAAGCTGGTGGGAAAACGAATACGAAACAACGTAGATTTGGGAAGTTTGGCGTTAAAATTTTCCAGCGGAACCTGTAGTAAAAAAAAATCAGCGTGTATTTTGCAGATTTATGTTTAGGGGGGGCACTTTTAATGACGAGATGAAACCCACCCAGAATCTTGGAGCCAATTCCAAGCCCGGTACGCGCAGCGAGGGCAGATGGAGTGAGAACTGCTGCAGCAAAGGTGAATCAAGATGGAAACCGAGATCGGATCGGCACAGGAGAATAAGGTTGAGTGATCGAGGTGCCCCAAGGTGTTTTATGAGACTCCAATGGTTCATGATTGATTATTCAGCGTCTGAATCATTCTACAAAATGAACCGGAAATGGCATTGGGAACCGGAAACCAGGAATTTGCAGACTTGACATCCAAAGTCGCTCACCTGCAAGTGTGATGACGAGGAGCAGAGTCACAGCGGCGCGAGGAAAAAGCCGACCCATATTGGTAGGCTGGGAGGTCCGGCGAGTGAAGGACGAGCAGAGCAGAGAGTCGTCTTGAGACAGGTTGGAGGAATGGGTCTCCAGTGGGTTTGGTTGATTGTGCTGTCTTTGGGAACTGTGGTGGCAAATGTCGGAAATGTTCGAAATTTATTCACCCATTTCCGGGCCGCGAATTGAGGCACGCGGCGCTTTTTGATTCGTGTTGGCCGGGCAGGCCACGTGGTGGCTAAGGTTGAAGTGCATTGGCGGTGGGGCAGGCTGACTGCCGAAACCTGCAGGCCACCAAAAATGTTCCGCGTTGAAAGCAGTCAACGGTCAGTCTGGAGTCGTTCGTGACTAAACGAGGAAACAGATTCCTCGATACGAGTTTATGTAATCTGGACTTCGTATTTCTGAAAGTAATACTCTCTCACATCCCTTGTGAAACTAGGCTCGTCGTCTCCAGCCAGACTAGAACAAAAATCACGTCGGCACACACTTAGCCTTGCACCAATCTCGCCCCTCCTGAAATCACCGCATCACCGCTGGACTAGGCCAGGTCACTGTCTCGTGTAACTCCTCGTACTTTCAGAAGTATTGCCCGAACTAACTCGCCAAGTGTTCGGTCATGGGTTTCTAGAAGCAGCATACTCTATAGAAAACATACAAATGTTTGAGATTGTCGATAAGACATACCATTAGGGTTGTTTCACATATTGTCGGTAGTTGGGAAGCTCGGTTCCTGCAGTTGAGTGGGTCAGACGCAGAGGGTGCGGTTTGGGCGATGGAAGCAAGGAGGGTGTTTGACAGAAGCGGAGGTGATAGAGCCCATTTCCCGCGAGATCAAGATGCGACGGACTTTGCCAGCTTTGTTCCTGCAGTTGCTGACTGAATTGAAGAGATTGGACGGTTGTGATTATCGCTAGAAATTTCCCGCCAGACATCTACACTAATGGCGAACGACCAACATCCAATGGCGTGATGCCACGTCGGGTCGCCTCTCTGCGTCCTGGTGGTTTGGTCTCCACGTCGTCGGCTGAGATGGAGGGGGGGCGACTTGGCGACAAACCCCCCCACTTTGTCACGCACTTCGTGGACTAGCCACGTCCACCTCGTTTGCACTTTTCCGCATAAGCTCCCCCTATCCCCCTCTCTCCCCCTCTCTCCCCCTTTCTCACCCTCTCTCCCTTTCTCTCCCCCTCTCTCCCCCTCTCTCTCCCTCTCCCCCTCTCTCCTCCTCTCTCCCCTTCTCTCCTCCTCTCTCCCCCACTCTCCCCCTCTCTCCCCTCTCTCCCCCTCTCTCCCCCTCTCTTCCGCTCTCTCCCCCCTCTCCCCCTCTTCCCCCCTCTTCCCCCTCTCCCCCCCTCTCCCCCCTTCACCCACTCTCTCCATCTCTCTCGCCTTCTCTCCCGCTCTCTCTCCCTTTGTCCCCTCTCTCCCCCTCTCTCCCCCTCTCTCCCCCTCCCCCTCTCTGCCCCTCTCTCACAGTCCTCGCCTCTCTTTTCAGCGTGGCTTAGGGTGTTCAACATCAACCGCTACCCACACTACGGGGAGCAGCCGATTGCATGTATTGCCCATCATCCACTCACCCATCAATGTCCCCTCTCCCTTTTTCCCCAAACCCCCCTCCTCCCCCCCTCCCTTGTGTTCAACATCTACCGCTCGCCGCACTGTTGGGAGCAGCCAGAGGAGTTTCGGCCAGAGGGAAGGATGGGCACTGCGTCCCCTCGCGGATCTCTCCCTTGCTTCCTTCCCCTTCTTTTCTCCCCCCCCCCTCCCCAGGTGTTCAACATCAACCGCTCGCCGCACTACTGGGAGCAGCCTGAGGAATTTTGGCCGGAGTGGTTTCGGGAGAAGAAGAGTGGCGAGGGCATAGACAGGTGGGATGGGTACGAGCCTGAGCGGCTGCAGCGGGCGCTCTACCCCAATGAGGTGGGTGTATTGGGGTTATTACACCAATGAGAGAGTGTTGTATTAACCCAACTTGGTGTGGGGGGGAGGGGGGGCGTTGTGGGCGGGGGATAATTACCCCAACGAGCTGAGTGTATGGGGGCCTTACAACATGACCTTAGTGCGCCTGAGTCCATGTGTTTATAAATATCAGTCCGGATTCACCCACGCACCACCACAAATCTGTTTCATCCAGCTGGCGTCGGACTCCGCTTTTTGGCCCTTGGGTGGCAACCAGTTCGCCCTCATGGAGTCCCCCCTGTGGCTTGCTGATTTACTCCACACCACACTTCTTCCTTTCACATGAGGGCCACCACCTCCCTGTGGTGCTCGCCATGCTCCTGCGCAGATTCCACATGTGCCTGGACTGGGCGCCTCAGCCAACCGGTCACCACCACCCATGAAACAGCCATGTTTTTCATTCAGGTGGCGTCTGGCTTTGCCGTGCTGCCCTCGGCGTCACCTGGTCATGGGCGCCACCACGCACACCAAGGAGGGGCTCTGGGGCACGCTGAAGCCCAGAGGAGAAAAGGGCGGGGTGGGTGCTGCTGCTGCAGCGAGAGCAACTGCATGATGGTGGGTGCTGATGTGCGCCTAGATGGGCCTCCTGAGGAGACAGATGGTTATGGGCACCACCATGCACACCAAGGCTGGGCTCTGGTGCAGGCTGATGCCGAGGGGGGTTGCTGCCGCTGCTGCCTCAACAGCAATTGCATGATTGCTGGGAGGCAGTTGAACAGTAACTTGAAGTTTGCCGTGCAAGAGCAAACAACTGCTGTTGTGTGGGAATGCTTAGCTGCGTTGCTTGCTGCACCAGCGTAGGATATCGTCAGTGTAGAGCGACATGCCCAGCCTTGTGCGTTTGAAACAAGATCCATCTGATGATTCTTGCCTGAGCTTCTTACATTCTTCGCGAAACATGATCTCCACAACAGCATGCAGGACGGATATGCTTTATACATGCATCTGAGGCTTACAAATATCAACATAGGAGTGAGTACTAACAACGTTTCCTCTCCACCCCACTCGCATGGCTGCTGTTGGCCTTGCCTTGCCTCGCAGATGGTGCAGATGGTGCAGCACCCTTCACTGATGATGCACCAGCGTGTGATTTCGTTACTCCTACTGCAGCACATGGTGCTTCAGACTCTGCGACAGTTGCTGCTGCTGCAGGTGCCGCTGCTGCAGATGCGGAAGCCACGTTTGTGCGAGTCAGCTTTGCCACAGTATCAGCATACTTGGCTACAATCGAGTCTGGCATTGCTGCTTTGGATTTCTCAATGTCCATGGCCCGTACCTCCTTGCTCAGCTTGTAGAACCTGGCTTGCCACTCTTCATGTGTACGCAACACCCTTCCACTCGCCTCGCCACACATGATAAGCCCGTTGCTGCTCAACTCGTTCTTGCCTGACCTGCTTTCAGACTGCACCTGGCAAACCGTCTCCGCAGCTGGGCTCACCGATGGCGCAACCAACTCCTTCACTGGGCTCAATGATGGTGCAGCTGATTCTGCTACACTCGCTGCTGCTGCAGATGCAACAGGGACGTTTTTCCGAGCCAGCTTCGCAACATCCTTAGCATACTTGGCCACTATCCAGTCAGGCATGGCTGCCTTGGTCTTCTCAATGTCCATGGCCCAGATCTCCTCACACAGCTTCTTCCAGCTCGCCTCCCTCTCTTCGCGTGAGCGGGGAACACTTCCACTCGCCTCACCAGACACCCTCAGCCTGTTGCTGCTGCACGCATTCGCGCTCTCAACTGGGTTCACTGATGGTCAAGCAGCATCCGCTACAAGCACTGCTGCTGCAGCTACAGGAGTCACGCTCGTATCCATCACCGCTGATGCAGTCAGAGCCACAGGAAGCACAGGCGACACCAGAACCATGGCCACAGGCGTAACCACAGCAGATGGTGCGACTGGAGCAGCCGCAGCCTTCCCTCCTTAGAGTAGCCTTGAAGTTGTAAGTGAAGTCTTGAAAGGAGAGGCTTGAGTGAAGAAGTCCTTGAGAGAGTTGTGTAGGGGAAGCTGTGAGGAGAGCTCAAAGACTTAGAGAAAATCCCATTTCCAAATTAGATTGTTGGAGTTGGGCAATCGAGAATGAGCTTGGGAAAGCTCAACCCCTCACTAGACCCCTTGGGAAACTCCAACTCCTCCATGGCAACAAGGTGGAGGAGCTCCTAGAGTTGAGTTGCTTAGGTGGCATTTTAGGTTGGGTTGCTACCCATTTGAGAGCAAGTGTGTGGAAGAAAATGTTGGATTGAGTTGGTTGTAAATCCAACCATTGGTTCGCAATGTGTAGGCTTGGGAATTCCCCTGCCTCAACATAAAGGGTTGGAATTTCCAAACCACATTTGCCTTGTGTTGGGTGGTTAACCACAATTGTGCACCCAACCCATCCTTCCCTAGCACAACTTTCACATACTTGCGACCTAGCTCACGTCACGCTATGGTGCCTTAGCTAGGTCGTGCCAATTGCGCTAGGTAGATTTAGTATGCGTTACACTCCACGTCGTCAATTGCGACGGAGGGGAGGCGAGGTGGCGACAAAACCCCCACTTTGTCGCTAAATTCGTGGACTGGCCACGTCCTCCTCGTTTGCACTTTTCCATCATCATATCACCTTTCCTTTTTCCTTCTCGTGTGGAGCGGTCGTCGCTTCCTATCACCTTCCTTTTTACCCTACCAAATCAAATTTGCAAGTATTAGTATCACCTTCCCCCAGTCACAGTGCAACAATCCCCCCCCCCCCCCTCCTCTTTCTCGCCCCTCCCCTCCCTTCTTTCGCTCGCCAGGTACACCATCTCGTGGTTTGTCAGGGGCTCTGCGGCTCTATCCTTAAACCTACAACGTTCCCAAAGGCATCGACCTCTGAGTCTCTGTAAGCTCCCTCTCTCCCCCCTCTCTCCCCCTCCCCCCCCCTTCTCCCCCCTCTCTCCCCCTCTCTCCCCCTCTCTCCGCCTCTCTCTCCCTCCCCCTCACTCTCCCTCATGCTTGCCTCTTTTGCTCCTCCGCTTCCCTTCACCTTCTCCATCCTCCTCGCCTCGCTCACACTCCTCGCCTCCCGCACACTCCTCGCCTCTCTCACAGTCCTCGTCTCACTTTTCAGTGTGGCTGAGGGTGCTTCCTGCGTGTTGCATCCACGCATCAACGCCATTCTATCCCCCCTTCCGTCCGCTCCCCCACCAACCCCCACCCCCTCGTCAGGTGTCCAGCCCAAACCGCTCAACCCTCTCCTGGGAGAAGAGCAGCCGGGGGAGATTCGGCCGATGCTGATGATCGCACACACTGCCCGTCCCATCACGTCCTTCCCATCACCTCGTCTCCCCCCTTCCCCTTTCCTTCTTTCCCCCACCCCCCTTCCCCCCCTGAAAAGGGTCATAAACAATTTGCCTTTACAACATCAAGGTAATTTTGGAAAAGCAGCCACTGGCAAGGGTAATCAAGTTAAAATACCCTTCAAAATTGGGCCCTGGTCTAAATGCGAGCATGACAAGAAAGGACGTGTACATGTATGAAAGGGTGAAAGGCAAAGGATTGAAGTGCTTAGATATGAATAAGAGACTGGGCAGATTTATGCTTAAAAGGTGTCATCTAGTTATAGGAAGTGGTCCAGTGTCAGGTCATGGATAAGACACATGATGTGGCAAGGCCAGAAAAGGAACCTGACTGGAGATAAATCTGCCAAAGAAATTAATTCTTTCTACCCTGTCAACGTTTAAAGAAATCATGCAATGTACTTTCCAAAGGTTATTCTTTACGATTTGAGTCTAGCAAGGTAATGTTTCCCACCTAAACAATGGATATTGCGAATAATGTAGTCATGGTTCTATGCCATTGTGGCGAATGATGTGGTAAGTAGCATTTCGGTGAAACGGTGATCATGCCTGAAATGGCAATCTAGCATATTAAGTGGTTACGCCTGAAATGGAAATCTAGCAAACCAAGTAGCTAGGCCTGAAACGACATCTAGAAAGCTTTCTCAAGAGGCCCTGAAATGGCATTCTGGCAGACAATGTAGTTAAGCCTGAAATGGCAATCTGGCATGTGAAGTGGTCAGGCTTGAAAGGGCAACCTGGAAGTTTATAAGGTCATGCCTAAAATGGGAATCTGGCAATAATTTGGTCAGTCTGGAAATGCCGATCTAGCAAATGATGTTGTGAGGCCTGAACCGACAATCTGGCAGATCAAGTGACATGCCTGAAGTGACCAATCTGGTAAATGATGTGGTGAGGCCTGTAGTGTCAATCTGACATATGATGTGGTCAAGCCTAAAATGGACCTCTTTGTCAGATGATGTGGTCAGGCCTAAAATTTCAATATGGCAGATGATATGGAGAGGTCTGAAGTGGCAATATAGCAGATGATATGGTCAGGCATATAATGAAAATCTAGGAAATTATGTGGTCGGGCCTAAAATGGCAATTTGGCAGGTCAGGCCTCAAAAGGCAATCTGGGAGATGATGTGGATAGGCGAAATGGCAATCAGGCATATGATGTGGTTGGGCCTGAAAGGTATATAGGTGAAGAG